AAGCCACAATGGCGGCCCAGCCTCCCTCCCCACCTGCAGAGTCCATCTGCCGTCACCCCCACCGAGCCCCATCACCCGGTCGGAGGAATTGGCCAGAGCTCCAAACAAAGGGGGAAACGGGTCATCGATGCCACAGAGGGCCAGGAGGAAGCCAGGAGAGAGGGAAAGGGTTCCAGAGACCAGCCTGGCACTGAGATTCATCACGGGTTTGATGGTCCTGGACAAGAGGCACAGGACAGGCCGGACGCCTTTGTTAAATTCACAAATGAACTGTCAGCCAAGTGCCGAGGCCTTCGAGAGCAAGAAGACGTCAGGAAGGGCTGGAAAGTGGGAAGGAAGGGGCAAACGGGGCACCCAGAGAACAAGCGACCTCCCATCCTCCCCACCTGGGGGCAGGGGACACCCGAACCCTGAGGAATCCTTCAAAGCAAGCCCTGGCCGAGGGAGGCTGAGCCCAGAGGGTGGGGAGGTGGAGGGCCAGGAGGGCACCCAGGTTTTTGAAAGGGGTTTCAGTCTGAATGGAGAGTGTAACAGAGAATCCCCAGGAGCTAACTAAGAGAGACACGGAGCCGGGACCAGGGAGCCGACAGTCCTGCCCTGCAGGGAGGATTGGGTTCGGTTCCAGGCGCCGAAATTTAGGAAGGATATTGATAAGCGGGTGAGTGTCTGGGGAGGGGGGGAGAGTGAGCAGCATGGGCTCAGTGAGAATCAGCAAGGAGCTGGGAGCAATTAGCCTGGAGAAGGGAAGACTCAGGAGAAACTCGATCGGTACTTTCAATTTTCTAAAAGGCGTAAGCAGACGAGCTCCAACAGGCAAAGAGGCTCGATGCTGGGGTAGGGGCACGGCAGAGAGGCAGACTGGGGTGACGTTCATTCAGCACCTTCTACGGGCTTTCTATCAACTGACCAGAGCGGTCTTCAACCAGAATGGGCTGGCTACCTTGGCATGGAGTGAGCTCCCCGTCACTGGAAGTCTTCAAGCAGAAGCTGGAAGACTTTGTCAGGATAGTGTGGATAATCAAAAGAATAATAAGAGATAGCACTTCCACAATGCTTTGTGAATATCGTTTCACGGGTGTCTCATAGCAGCGCTGGGTTTACTATTGTTCAGTTGTGTACCACTCTTTGTGACCCCATTTTCTGGGCAGAGATCCTGGGGCGGTTTGCCATTTCCTTCTCCAGCTCATTTTACAGATGAGGAAACTGAGGCAAACAGAGTGAAGTGATATGACCAGGGTCATACAGCTACTAAGTATCTGAGGCTGCATTTGAACTCGGGTCTTCCTAACACTAGGCCTAGTAACTTTAGGTTAACGCCAAACTAGAACAATTTGGAAATAAGCCAACATTCCTGCTCAGCATCAAGGAGAAAGTAAATGCTTCCGCACTCTCAGGTCTGTTGTTACCTGGCATTCTCCACAAGCACCAAGCACGGCGAGTTGTATACAGTGGGTGCTTAATGCATGTTTATCTTTAATTGGAATCTCAGGGTTGTCATCCGCCAAATGGGGGTGTAGAGGAGGGGTTATGAGCTTAGGTGATGCCCAAAGTCCTTCCCAAAGTCCTTTTAGCTTTTCAGGACTTTGGAACTCAAGCATCCTGGAGCCACCATGTTGGTACAATTGGAATTGAAGCTCCCCTGAGTTAGCCAAAATACTTCCCAAGAAGCCCCCTCTTTCTTGAAGCCTTCCTCCACAACTATTCATCATGCAAATCCTACCCTTACAGTTAGCATCTGTTTCTCGGCTCCACGGGCATTAACCACTCTCCCAAGTTGAATTGTAAAACTCTGCAGGTCAAAGACCGGTCCTATGCCTCTCTGTCCCTCCTGCAGTGCCCGGCCCAGGGCCCTAGACACAGGTATATGGCAGACGCTATGACGGTAAGATTCAAGTTCAAAGTCTTCACCCTCGAACACAGGCTAGGGGAGGGGTTTAGAAAGCTGCTCTGGCCCCAGATCCACCATCCTCTGGCCAACCTGGTAACTCAGTTTACCTGAACAGGCCTTTATTAAGTACCTTCTACGCACCAGGGCCTGGGTGAGGCACTGGAGATGCAAAGACAAAAGCTAAACAGTGCCTGCCCTTAGGAAGTTTACATTCTACTGGGTGATGGAGATACAGAGATTTACAACTGGAAGGGACCTTAGAGCTTTCTAGGCCAATCCTCTTACTTTACTGAGAAGGCACCTAGGCCCCAGGTGACTTACCCAGGGTCACACAGCTAATTAGGGTCAGTGGTGGGATTTGCACCAGACCTTCCTGGCTCAGAGTCCAGTACTCAGAGGACAAAAGATTCAAAGTTATAAAAGTCCTTAGAATTCACCAAATCCAACCCCTTCATTTTACAAGTGGGGAAACTGAGGACTAGAGGTTAAGTGACCTCTTATTGACTTCATGACTTACTCAAAGTCATGCAGCTAGTAAATGATGGAGCCAAGATTCAAACCCAGGTCCTCCATCTGCCTGGCACGCAGTAGGTGTTTAATAAATTCTTATTTATTGACATTTTCCACTAGATTAAGATAAGAACCTCTGAGCTCTGTTGGGGGGTCCTTGGAAGACAGAGGTGTGCTCTGTCACCTCATACTCCAGCTTGCAAGAAGACTTTGCCATGACCTTCAGATTTACCTCCTTACCACAGTGAGGCATTGAAGGATGACATCAACACACAGTGCCTGGCACATAGTAGGTGTTTAGTGTTCATTGATTAACAAAGTTCTTCCTTTCTCAAAACCACCGTCCAGACAGCTCACTAATGAAGCTCATGTCCTATTCCCCAATCCCCCAAGCCTCAGATCCTACCAGACCCATAGACTCAGAGACTACAGCAGACAGAACACTAGACTTGGAGTCAGAAAGACTTGTGTTCAAATCCCAGCTCAGACATTTGCTAGCTGTGTAACCCTGGGCGAGTCACTTAACTGCTCTGGGCCTCAGTTTCTTCCCTTGTAAAATGAAGGGGTTTAAACTAGGTGGGCAACCTCAAAAGTCTCTCCCAGCTCTGAATGTACGATGCTAGGAGATAGAAAGGCCTGGGTTCAAATTTCACATCTGACACTAATTAGCTGTGTCACCCCTCCACAAATCACTTCATCTGTCTGGTTCTCAGTTTCCTCATCTGTAAAATTAAGAGTTGGTAGCTGATGGCCCCGTAGGCCCTTCCCAGCTCTAAATCTAGGAAGCTCTGAGCCTTTAATGAGCGGGTGAGAAACAGTGACTCACCCAGGGTCCCACAGTGGTTGAACAGCAGGCATCCTATCATCACACCCAGAGTTCTCTGTACATCCCATTACTCAGATCACTTCTCCTCACCGAGGACAGCAGCTCTTGATTCTCACTAAGGCTAAATGAGGCTCCCCAGCTCCTGCCACACCTCAGAGGTCACCATCTGGAAGCTCTACTCAAAGAAATTTTTTTGGTCCAGACCTGTCCTGTTTATGATTTGATTACCATAGGGAACTCCCAATACGGAAAACTCCCTCCACTGATGCAGACTGGCAGCTCCTCTCCACCTCAAAGACCTGGAGCCAGGAAAGTTTCAGTGACATGCCTAGCCAGAATGTGTCAGAGGCAGGACCCACGTGTTTTTTTTTTTTAACTCCTGGATGGCCAGCTGCCACTCTATTTCTTTACCAAAAGGAGGGTATCAAATAAAATAAAATACATGGGAGACCAAACTCAGAAAAATCCAAGGGTTTAGTGGGGCTCTGTGATAGCCTTTCTCAGCACCCCACTTCCTCCCCCTACCCCCAAACAGGAAGAATTTCTACTGATTGAAGCTGTCCACAAACGGGACAGGCTGCCTTTCAGGGAAGTGGGCTCCCCACCTCGCTGTCCCATCGCCAGGGACATTGGAATGGAGATTTCTGCCCTGGCCCAGGCTGGCCCGGAAGGGTCTCTTAGCTGCCCCGGCCCGGGAGGTTTGGGGATTCTACATGCATCCAACAGGCACCAAGCTCACTGCTCCTCGCTGGAGGGGGATTGGCAGCAAGTCAGGAAGAGAGAAATAATACTCAGTGTAAAAAAAAAAACCAAAACCAGGGTGAGCTCAGACTTTCAACAGGAAGCATTTCCGGGCAGGGAGGTCCCCCAGCTCCCGGAGCAGCCACTCTGCACATGGGGGAGCCTGCGTCACTTTGGACACAAGACCCAGGAAAGACAACTCAAGAGGGTCAGATTGCAGGGAGGGATCCCGGCAGAGAAGGGGGTGGGGAGGCCTCAGGGCAGAAGCTGCCCCCATCACCGCTCGGTTTCAGGCAACACTCGCTTTCAGGGGGGTGAAGGGCAGGAGGGCGATCCGAACCCGCCTGGAGCCTGTTCCCACGGCCCAGGCTGGAAACCTGGGTCACCCCAGCTGGTAATCTGAGCTAAAAATATCTCCTGCCGCAGCAGCAGGGACAAACCACCTTCACTGGGAGGGCTCAGAGCGGGTCAAATGCCCCGGCTGAGTGGGAGGGGGCAGGGGAGGAAACACTGGCCTCCTGGCCAGCCCCACCCCAGAGCTGTCCTCCCACGGGGCCAGGGCATCTCCAAAGAGCATCTGGCTCCACTGCCTTGGACTTAGGACCAGAGATATAAGGCTGAAAGCTCCATGTTCAAAAGTTTCCCGAGTCTAAGTTTCATTTGACAGATTAGGAAACTGAGGCCCAGAGGAAAAAAAAAGGCATTTGCCCAAAGACACACAGCTAGAAAGTGGCTGAGCAGGATTTGAAGCCAGGACTTCTGACTCTCCACCCAGGGCTCCCTCCACTTGGGCTTCTACAGCATTTTCCAAGCTACAAAGCATTCAACTGTCCTATGAGATGGGGTAGTATGAGGTTTATCATTCCTATTGTACAGATGCGATATTAAGGCCAGGGGTCCAAGTCAGATGTAGGCCTGGAGCTCAGGCCTCCTACAAAGGACCAGGTCAAAGCACCCTGAGATGCCTCTCTGCCTCGAGGGACAGATTTCCTCCCTAGCCCTGGCCGAGGACCCCCAGAAACCACAGCCACTTACCCAAGTAGATGTCCCCAAAGGAGCCACTGCCAATTTTTCGGCCCAACCTGTATTTGTTCCCCACACGAAGCTCCATGATTCAGTCTCGCTGCAAGAAAGAAGGAGAAAATGGGGAAACCAGGTCAGGTGAGGAACAGGACTACTGAGGAAGCCAGAGAGGGATGGCTGGCTCCTTCCTCTGGGACCCCACCCATTCCTAAGGGCCAGGAAAAAGAAGAGGGTGGCTCTCAGGACCCCAGGGTGAGCAACGCGCATGCCTTCCTTTCCAGTAGGCGAAGGGGAAGATCTCCTCCATCTCCTCCCTTTTTCTCTGTGCCCCAGGGCACCCAGGTGTTCAGCCTGCCAGGTACCCACACCCTGGTCACAGGGATTAGAAAGAGGGGAGAAGAAGAGTGTTTCTGGAGTCAGAGAAGGGACCATTCAGACTGGATGCCCACTAGGAAATGGCCATGCATTGACTCTCAATGGGAGGCCAGCCTCAGGGGGCTGCCCAGGATGGCCCAGTGTCCCCATGAGACAGGCATGGAGGGTGGGGAGGACAGAGAAGCTGACCACCACTCAATTCCAACTCACTGGGCAGACAAGCAGGAAAAGAAGGTGTTTGGGGAGGGAAGGGGGGCAGAAGCATAGATGACTCATATCCTCCTACTGACCCCCTGAAACAAACAAGACCCACTCTTGGTTTTAAGGAAGAAAGGCCATGGTCCCTTAGAGGGAAGACAGTAGGCCTGTCCCCAGCTCCCATGAGCTAGCTTATTTTGGGGAGATTTGAGGGCAGCCCTGGGCCCTGAGGTCACAGACACCTAGACTGTCTCCCATCCAGAGGGGTCTCACCCTGGCCCGTCAGGATGCCCAGAGAACATTCCCCCTACTTTGTTCCCTGATTCCCTTCTGGATCACGGTCTCCGGTCTGGATTCTGTCCAGATCTTGCATCTAAAGCCGGGAAGGACCTTGGAGGACTTCTCAGCCAAGCCCCCCACTGAGGCACAGAGAGGTTGATTTGCTCAGGGTCATAAGAGTTCACAGATCTCATGCTGGATGGGATTTCAGAAGCCACCTAATCTACCTCCTCATTTTTTCAAATGAAACAAGCTCAGAAGTTAAGTGACTTTCCCACCATCACCTACACAGCTAGCAGGTATCTCAGGTAAGATCTGAACCCAGGTTTTTCCTGACCTCCAGTCCAGAAGTGTCCTCCTCACTACATCCTGCTGTCTTTCCCTCAGCCCTAGAAGTGGAGGACAGACTTGGTATTACTGTGAGGCAGAGAAGGAACTCCTGAAAATATCTGACCTTCAAGACCCAATCCCTTCTTTTGACTACCCCCTTTAAAAAGGAGGCTCCTGCAAATTCCTCAGCTAAGGGCCTCTGATATCTCAGGAGACCAGAGTCCAGGGTCTCAGAGGACCCAGGGCTGGAAAGGATCCCAGAAGCCAAAGGGACCTTCAAGATCATCTTGCCCAACCTACCCAAGATCATATAGCTAGTAAACGGGAGGGCCGACATTTGAACCCATGTCCTCTGACCCTGAATACAGTTATTCCTTTCAGGACACCAAGCTTTGGGGCATCTTTTAAAGTCTGGGACACAGGGTCCCCTGAAGAGCTAATCACATCCCATCAGCAAGTCGGTAGGCTCCAGAGAAAAACAGGATGGGTAGGGTGTGTGTGGCAGTGGGATTCTCGAGAGGTCAGAAATAGGAGAGTTTGAGTGAAGACTGCACAGGGAGGTAGGAGAGTTTGGGTGAAGACTGCACAGGGAGGGTATCGGTCTTGCTTCTTCTCCTTTTGGGGTGCAGCAGGCTCACGAGGCTCCCGGGGTCCCAAGACCATCACAGGAAAGCATCCCTGGCCCCGTGAACAAAGATTTGAATCCAGCCCTACTCCCTGGTCAAGAGCCTCGAAATGACTAGGGCCGGGGGTCTTGGATACTTGAGTTGTGGGGGTGGGGCTTAGGGTCCACTCTAGAAAATCCTCTCTTCCCTCCATGTGAGAGCAGGGACAGAATAGGAATCCTAGAATGTCAGAGCACACATTTCGACATCAGCTCAGCCAATCTGCTCATTTCTGCAGCAGCCCAGGAAGGGGAAGAGACTTGTCCAGAATCACACAGGAAATTACAGAAAGCCAGGCGTATCTCCTATCCCTTCCTCCTCTGCCCATCTCCCTGTGCTCACTTTCAAAGACGGGGAACAACATTGTGCCCGGCAGGCACGATACAAGATAGACACATCCGATCTTCTCCTTCCACCAAATGTCCAGGCCCACGGTCAAATCACTGACCACAGGCTATCCAGACAACATCCTTGGGCAGGGTCAGCCGGGTGACCGTGGGCAAATCATAGCCCTCTCCCAGGTTCGGTTCCCTCATCTGAAAAATGAGGCTAATACTATCTGCACCACCCACCTCCCGGGGACATTTTGAGAAAAGAACCTTGTAAACCGTAAAAACACCAAAACGCTATTTGAATAACATCTGACATTTCCACAAAGTTTTTAGGATCGCCTCACGACCACCCTCTGAGGCAAGCGTAGATATTTTTGTGACCATTTTACAGATGAGGGAACTGAGACTCAGGTGAAGTGACCTACGCAGGATTGTGCAAGCAGTATTAGAGGAGGGACTTGAATCCGATCTCTCCTGATTTAAGTCCCCAACTCTTCCCACTACACCACTGACTCCCCTTCAAAATGCCAAAGGCCTGAGACTGCACAGATCCTCTTTACCTCTGGACAAAGCAGGAGACAGAGAAACGGCATCCTTCTGAAGGAAACCTGCTCCCTGTCTCTGAACGGAAAGACAGCTGGTCTTAGGTACTGCTTGCTCACTTCCCGTATGACCTTGGGCAAGTCACTTCCAGTCTCTCAGACTCAGTTTCCTCTTCTGTAAAATGAGGGACTCAGTAAAATGAGAGGGTTGGACAGGATCACTCTAAAGCCTCTTTTGGCTCAAAATCCAGGGGTAATCTTGGGCTTCTCCTACTCACCACACACACACACACACACACACACACACACACACACACACACACGCAACCCTTCAAAACTGTCATGGAGGCTACCGGATAAATATTTACAAAGGACCCCCCGTGGACACGGCGCTGCAGATGCCTGTGCTCACACTCACTCCCTCTCCTTCCCAAGTGTGTATACTCCAAAGGGAAGAAAAGTCCATGTACACAATGAGCCTCCACTCACTCACACATGCTCCTGACGTACGTTTATGGCGTGTGCCAACTCAGGGACCACACATCCGGACCTGGGCACTCATAGGGTAGTGCCAATAAATACGCCCTCATCCTATATTACATAAATACCCACGCCGGGTTAGGTAAATAGACATGGAGAGAGTCTGGCCTTCTTACATAAATGCCCCACACACTCTTCCTGAGCTGTCAGGAGGAAAAGCAGAGGGAAGAAACATCTAACTTGATGGGAAATTGATCCCAGGGAGAAGCTGATTTCCCACCTCCCTCCCTCCAGCCCTGCCCCCAGTGTCTCTCTCCTCATAAGCTCCACAGGGGTCCCCAGGGGCCTGGGAAGTGCTCCCTCCTGTCCCAGGCCCTGGAATACAAAATTAAAAAAAACCAGAGAGGAGAGGATGAGGGCTACCCAGCTACATGGTGGAGCCCGGGGGAGGACAGAATGTGCCTCTGGAAAGAAGCGAATGCTTTGATAAAGAGATAACTAGAGCCTTTTACTCCAACACTCTGACTCTCCTAATGTGGGGAAGGGGCCAGGAGGCAGAAGACCGGAAGAGAAAGAAAGAAAATAATGAGTGTTCTCTCTCTTTATAAAATAATTCCCCAAGCACCTCCCCCACTACCCCCCCTCCAACATCCCGTCACCCCATCCTCCCTTTTTTTAGATTTGGACAACGTTTTAAGTGGGGGGAAGTAGAGGGTGGGAAGAAGATGCACCCTAGAGATGAAAGACAGAATACACAAAAGCAGACATTTTAAAAACAACATCTCCAATTCCTTTTCTTCCTTGTTTCTCACCCCCCCCCCCAAAAAAATCATCCTCTGATTTGATGTGAGTTACTTCAAAAGAGCAAGCCAGGGGAAAAGTCTGTTGAGGGGAGGGGGCTCACCCCCTTGGAGGCTCTCGGTGTTGCAAGGGACTCAGACTCTCTAGATATGAATAAATATTCTCTCTCTCTCTCTACATATATATAATGCACACATATACACACACTCATGCAGTCTGTCCATATATATAAATATATATGTATATATCACAGACGCCACACACTCAGAGAAAAGAGGAAATCCGAATAAGTCATTCCACTGCCCCCCCTCCACAAAAGAAAACCTGGCTCCCTGGCCTGTTTTATCCGACACTATTCCTAAAGCCTCCCCCCCACCCCAACACACACACATCCATCCAAGGGGCCACCCAGAACACTTTGTTTGAGAGAAGTAAAAGAAAAGGATTCCCCCACCGGGGGAAGAGAAGAGACAGTGAGGTGAGATAGAGAGAGAAAGGGAGACAGAGATAGAGAATGTAATACGGGAAAAGAGACAGAGACAAATAGAGAAAGAGACTGAGAACCGAAGGAGAAACAGGGGCGGGGAAGGAAGAGACAGAGAAAGAACACGAGAGAGAACGAGAGAGAGAGAGAGAGAGAGAGAGAGAGAGAGAGAAAGGGAGGGATCGAGAGAACGACAGAGAAAGAGACGGAGCTAGCTAGAGAGACAAAGATAGAGAGGCAGAGACGGCGAGAAGAGGGACGGAGCCAGACAGAGAAAAGAGAATGGTGGGTAGGTGATTGTTTGGAGAAAAATACAAAGACGGGGGTGGGGGGGGGAGGAAGAGACTAGGAAAGAAACAGTTTCAGATGCCTTCTCCCAATCCGGGCCACCGTAGCCTGCTCGCCCTGAGCCCCCAAACACACACGTACACGCAGCCTGGGTCCCCAAGCCTGGGGTCCCCGGCCCCCCTCTCCCCAGTCAGCGGGTGCTCCCAGCAACGAAAGCCCATCTCCTCGTCGGAGGTTCCGAGCCCTTCAAACGTCCAGTGGGAGAGGGGGCAGACAAGGCTGAAAGGGGCTGCTCTGACCCAGCGGGAGGAGGTCCCCCCCTCCGCAGCCGCTCCCCGGGAGCATTTCTGCAAAATAATCTCGTGCCCCAGAATGGGGCTCTTTTGTGCTCGGGGATCGGCCTCGGGGCCTGTCACCCAGGGGCCAGCCGGGCTCCGTGGGTGAGTGTGCATGCGTGTGAGTGTGTCAGAGTGTGTGAGTGTGTGTGTGTGTGCGCGAGCACCCGCTCCTTTCCCCCCACCCCACCCCCATTCCTCCCTCCCTCCCCCCGTCTCCCAGCAAAAACAAAGGGCCAGAGGAGTGCCCTTTCCCTCCGGCTTTGCCCCCCGAAACGGGCCCCCAGCCCCCCAATATTTACCCCGCCGGGAAGGGGCCGGTGCCCAGCTCCTGCTCCGGGCGCTGCCAGGGACCCAGGCGTCCGAGGGCTGGAGGATGCAGGAGGATTGGGCTGGGGAAGGAGGGAACGTGAAGCTACACCCAGCTCGCAGCCCGGAGCTGCTAGCCTGCCTGCCCGCCCGCCTGCTAGCCTGCCTGCCCGCCCGCCCGCTGCCCGCCCGCTGCCCGCCCGCCTGCCCGCCCGCCTGCCTCTCTCCCAGCTGCTGCCCCCTCCCTCCCGCCCCTCCCCCTCCTCCCCCCGCCCCTTCGGCCTCCGCGTGGGGCTGCGCCGCTCCCCCTCCCTCTCTCGCTCATTGACTTTCATTGAGCCCGCTGGCCAAACCCACTGATGTCATCCTGCACAGCTCGCCCCCTCCCTCGCCCGTTTAAAGGGACACTGCCCGGCTCCGGGCTCGGGGCCCGGCCGGGGCGGCCGGCTAACCTCGACCTCACCCGAGATCCCCTCGAGACCCGAGCCCGGGCCTCGGCCTCGCCGGGGCACCGCCCTCCACGACGGCTCCGAGCCGGTCAGGTCCTGGAGGACAGCGCTGGGCTCCGGCTCTTGGAGAGCCCTGTGTGCCCCGGGGCTCGCTTTCTCTCTGGCCTGGGGCTGTGCGCATCTCAGGCGCCCGAGATCTCCCCGCATCCTCCGGAGAGAGGGGAGCCTTCTTTCGGGGGGGGGGCCGTACACCAAAGTGGCTTATCAGACACTTGTTGATTGTCTCCACGAGCCTGGTGTATATAGTAGGCGCTTAATAAACATGCCGACTGCACCCTGAGTGCCTAGCGCCGAGCCCCGTTACTAATGGATCGATTAAGTGTATTTATGCCCAAGTACCAGAGAAAGTGAACCATCGCCTTCCCCTCCCCCATCTCGCCTCCTTGCACAAAGGTAGGGAAGGAATAAATGCGGAAATCTGAAACCTGCCCACAACTGGATTATTCATCATGGAATTAGCAAACAAACCAAACTCAAGTCTGGCCCAAAGGAGGGAGAGGAATGAATTGGGGTAATGGAAAGAATGCTGAATTTCAGGTTCCGCGACCTGGGTTCGAGTTCTCAGTCTGCTAGGAACTACCTGTGCGACCTTAGAAAAGTCACTTCCCCTTTCTGGGAAGAAGGACCTCAGTTTCCTCTTCTCTAATGACAGCAACAATTATAATAATAGCATTATTAAAGCATGTGCTATTATCATTCCTAATTTACAGATGAGAAAACCGAGGTTGAGATGTTCCAAAGTTTACACAACCTTTAAATGTCTAGAAACTAGATCAAGATTCGAACTCAGCTCTTCCAGACTCCCAGTCGGACACTTGCCGAGCCCCTGCACTACGTAACTGCTCCTAGAAGGAGGGAGTTAAACTAGATGACTTCTAAGATCGGTCAATCAAATATGTTTTAAGTACCTACTAAGGTATATAATCAGGACTGAGGATATAATCTATCAATGAGCATTCATTAAGCACCGAGCCAGTGCTAGACACAGGGGCTAGAATGTGGGATTCCATTCCCAAGGTTGGCTCTCAATACACTACACCATCCCTCCTCAAACCTCCCATGGCTCCCTCTCCCTCCACTGTCTCAGCTGAGAACAAACATTTGAGACCTTTCTCCTTGGCATCCTCTTGTCCCCTCCTCCCCGTCTGGTGGCACTCATGAGTGCCTTCTGCCACCCTCTCCTCCTTCACCTCTGTCTCACTTAATAAGGTGGCCCTACACCTTACCAAGGCTAACCTTCTCAAGTGACTCCATTCCATCCCATCTCCTCCAACAGATCGCCCACTCTCATCCCCACTTTCACTTATTTTCAATCTCTCCCTCTCTACTGGCCCCTTCCCTACTGCCTACATACATGCCCATATCCCCCCTATCTTGAAAAACCCCTCACTTGATCCTTCCATCCCAGATCCCTATCTTTCTTCTGTGGCTAAACTCTTCAAGAAGGATGTTTACGATAGGTGTCTTCACTTTCCCTCCTCTCACTCTCTTTTTAAGCCCTTCCTCTGCCGTTTCTGAACTCATGGTTCCACCTAAACTCTCCAGAATCACCAGTGGTCTCTTACCGGTCAAATTCAGTTTCTTAATCCTCATTTTCCTTGCCCGGGACAGCTAGGTGGTGCATTGGCCACAGCACTGGCCCTGGACTCAGTTGAACCTGACTTCAAATCCAGCCTCAGATACTTAGTAGCTGTGTGACCCCGTGCAAGTCACCTAACTCTAATTGCCTCAAAAAAAAAACAAAACAAAAAACTCAGCTCATTCTCCTTGACAGCCTTTGACACTCCTGACCACCCTCTCTCTCCTCTCTAGGTTTTTGGGGACACTCCTCCTGGTTCTCCTCCTTCCTTCTCAGTCTCTTCTGCTAGATTCTCCTCCAGATCACACCCTCTAACCATGGGTGTCCCACAGGGTTCTGTCCTGGGCCATCTTCTCTTCTCCCTCAATATGACTTCCCTTGGAGATCTCATCAGCTCCTATGGGCTTAATTACCATTCCTATGCTGATGTTTATCAAATCTAGCTGTCCTGCTCTAACCTCTCTGCTAACCTTCAATCTCCAACTATATTTCAGACATTTTGACCTGGATGTGCGGTAGACATCTTAAATCTAACATGTCCCACACAGAACTCATCCCTCAACCCTCCCCTCCCTCTTCCCTGTTAATGTTGAGGGCCACACCATCCTTCCAGTCCCTCAGGCTCCCAACCTAGGAGTCATCCTGGATTCTTCCCTATATCTCAACCCCCATATCCGATATGTTACCAAGGCCTACAGAATGATTTGTGGGAGAAGGTACTAGCAGCTGGGGAGGCTCAGGAAAGGCCTCAGAAAGAACGTAGTGCTTCAGCTGAGCCCTGAGAAAGGTCCTCTCTAGACCTCAGAATTGGGAGATCTGGATTCAAGTCCCTCTTTTTAGCTGTGACACATGGCTTAAAATAGTATGCAGCACCTAGCCCTGGTGGCCTGTCGATTCCGTGGTCTCACTCGGTCGTTCTCAGCTTCCCCTTATAGAAAACCGGAGTAATAATCCCTTCCCATGACCTTGTTATTCCCTTGTGAATTTAAAATATTTTTAAAATTACTTTAAATTTAAAATGCTTTAAAGTATTTTAAATTATTAAAATTTAAATTAATTCATTAAATTATTAGTTAAAAAACTGTAGGTAGCAGAAATTCAGTGTCTCATAGATATACAAACTTTCTTCTTTTATATATTGGAATGTTTTATTTGTGGGTGACTGTCAAGTTCATAATAAAAATACTTTTTTTTTAATAAAAAGGCTATAAAAGAATTTATCTCCCCAACAACCCCATGGGGCTCCTCAGACAGAGGTCATGGGTCCTGAAATCGACCATCTGAAATGGGCTGCTCGTCCAGAGACTGGCAGAGGCTGCACAGGAATCCCGGGCAATGAATAACCAACCATCTGAGAAGCCATCACCTGGAGGGACGGGGCAGGATGGAAGGGACCCGCCGGAGGGAGCCAAACAAGGCTTTGTTCTGGGACCAGTGAGTTTTCAGTGGGCAGTATCTCTCAATATATGCTTTGGGGATTCAAAAACACTTACTAGCTGTGTGACCCTGGGCAAGTCACTTAACCTCTCCAAGTCTCAGTTTCCTCATCTGTAAAATGGGGATGATAATAATAGCATCCACCTCCAAGGGCAATTATGGGGATCAAATGAGAACATATTTGTAAAACCCTGCATACATGCTAGCTAAAATTATTATTTTCAGGCTTGTTGCTTATCACTTTCTTTCTCTCATTCAACATTCCTTCAGGTCTGTCCTCTGCCTTCAAGGCTCAGCTCAGATGCCACCTCCTCCAGGAAGTCCTTCTTGATACCCCCTCAGTTGTTAGTACTCAATACCTCCTCAAACTAGTATCGATAAACCTATCTGGAAAAGAGGATCATGGGATCACTGAAAGAGATCTTAGACTTCTTCTAGAGGGTAAGCTCCCTGAAGGCAAGGATGACCTCATTTTTTGTATTTGTATCCCCAGCACATAGTACTATCCCTGGCGTAGGGTCATAATTATTACCCACAGTAAAGTAAATCGTGACTTTTCAGTGACTCCTCATGTTCTAGGTTCTCTTGGCTTCTCAATAGAAAACCAGGCCAAAAAACAGTATATGTATATGGACACATGCATGTATGTGTGTGTCTGTGTGTGTCTGTGTGTATGTATATGTGTGTGTCTGTATATATGTGTGTATGAGTATCTATGTATTTGTATATGTGCATGCATGTACACACATGTAGGTGGTGTTTGGCCTGGATTTGCTATTGAGAGGCCATATGAGAGAGGGAGAGAGAGAGAGAGAGAGAGAGAGAGGAGGTGGAGGAGAAGGAGAAGAAGAAGGAGGCGGAGGAGGAGGAAAAGAGAGAGACATAGAGATACATGCACATATATACATACACGCATATACATATGCATACATATATACATGCGTGTATACATGTACACATGCATAGACATCTATCTATTGTAGGATCATAGGCTCAGCCAAAAGCGGCCTTTGAGGCCATCTACTCCATTTCCTCATTTCATAGATGAGGTGACTTGAGCCACATCACACATGTACGAAGGCACAGGCTCACCAGATCACGCCATCAGTGCTGACCCCCTCATGCTCCAGAGGTAGGAAATGAAGGTGAGCCAGTCACACAAATAGTCAGCATCAGAGGTATGATGTGAACCCACATCCTCAGACCCCAGGCCCAGGGTGCTTTCCATAACATCATGAGGCACCTTGACAGCTTCCATCCTGCCCATGCTTCCTGTCTCCCCCCAAAGTGCCTAAAAGAGTGCTGGACACACCGAGGGCCCTCAGTCCTCTGTACCTGGTAGGCTTTGGTATACAGACATGGTGCTGGGAAGGCTGACCCCCTGGGGGGTGGCTTCTCCGAGGCTGCTTTTCCCCAGCAGAAGAGAGGAGAGGCCCTCCTAGGAAGCTGTCCACATTCCCTGTCACAGTCCACCTGATGGCCTGGGGGTGGCTACGGAATGTGGCCACAGAACTGAAGCTTGAGAACAGAATTAATTGAGCCTCGCGGTGATTGCCGCCCAGGACCCCCTCTGCTCTTATTAAATGCTTGATGTCCTAACAAGTTATAGTTAAGGAA